ATACTCAAACATTTCCCTCCGTTGAAGGGTAAAAAAAATGATGTCTTACCTGACAAGATGAAAATGTATCGTCCAGAGAAAAGCGGAAGCTGGTCATGTCTTTGATCGAAAATCTTGAGTTGAGTATCAGTTGAATAAGGCAGTCTCTCTATCGTAAAGCTCTTGATGACGTCACCACATCCTTGTAAAAAGCGACTTACCTTGATCATTTAACAGGAAGACTTCTGATCTCACACTCGAAGAAGTGCACATAGCTCAAAATTTCCCATGACTGAAACTGCTTATTATTTAGAATTCGTCTTTAATGTTACTTCCGAATCTTGGGTGTACAATCCAGTGCAACGAGGCGTTAATTCCAAGAAATTCTCACGCTTCAATTCCTTTGAAATGCACACAACAGGATATTCGCTTTCCATCGCTCCCGGGGGAAAGCTTTCGCATCTTTAATTGAAAAAGTGAAAAAAAACAAGAGATGCCATTAAGATTAGTCAAAAGGTAAGAAAAGTTGTGGGAAAAGTGCAGATGATAATGATGAAATATTGCAGGACTCTACATAAAAGCCTGTTGTCATAGTAACAGAAGTTGTCAGCCAGAGAGCGAAGCAGACTAAATATGCATTTGACGACCTTTAATTATTGTTCAAAGTTGTTATCCACCCACGCTTTAGATAACAAGCAGCTTTATCAGCAAGTTAGAAAGTGCAACAATCACCATGTTTAAAATTACTGCCTTAATTAGAATGTTTGTAAACTGTGACTCTCAAGTGATTAGTCCGGCTAAACCGGATTTTCATATCCGGTGTAACCAGTTTGTGTCGCCAAGTCACGTCCTCCTTCCTTGCGGATACCTTCGACTATGGACTGACTTCCCTTCTGTTATCTACGATTTTTGTGTGTCACACGTTTAAAATGGAATTTAACAATAGCTTGAATTCTCCACCCGATCGAAATCTTATTTGTAAATAGCAACTTCGACGACAGTAAGAAATTTACTTTGAATGAGAAAATTTAAAAAGGATTTAGAACCATCAGCATCGTTCTCGTTTTAATCCACAACCTACACTAAACAGAAGTTTAAAGTACAGCCATTTAATGGGCGCAAATCACCCATCTTTAGGCTTTTTCAGCTTAAATTAGTAGTTTATGTATATGTGCTGAGGCAGCTAAAATATAATAATGCAATCCATCCTCTTACAAAAGGTATCTTGTTACAAATTTAGTAATTGGATACGGGGTAGCACCTGGCTTATCAAAGACTTCATTGTACCCAGGAAATTCGATCATGTTGCCTATTTACAGCGGGGGCTCAAGGTGTATTTTGCAGGGGCACTGCCCTTGCAAAAGCGTATTCACAAGTATGTCGCGATTTCTATTTTGACCAGTTCTTAACAAGTCTCGCAGATCATTAAGTAATTTTATTTTTAAATCCGAATGGTGTCTGAACTCACGTTTAATGGTTTCGTTACGTGCATGTGTTAGAGTTTTTGGTTGAGCTTTTAGGCTCCTCTCCAGGAAGTCTGGAGGTTTTCTTGTATGCATGGCTAAACTATCAAGCTGTACGCTAATTTTAATCGTGATTAAGATATACTGGAAATTAGGGGTTTCGAGTATGAGAATGAATAACAATGGAGTTGAAAATAATTGCACGTTTAAACTGCTTGTAACGTTCTGCAATTAAAAAGTAGAGAGCTAAGTAAAAGTAACTGAAAAGGGAAATAAAAGTCATGGAATTCATATTTTCTTATTTTTAGCAGATATCGCGCAAGAAATTGCGAAATTTCCGTCACTGCTGTTTAGTTATTTTTAATCAAGGTGTGTTCATAAACTGCTGAATTGTCGTTAGACGTGGAGAATCATGATTGTTGGAGTAGTTTCGAGTCATTTTCTTGCGTAACAAGGAATTTCATCTTTTCATTATAGATATGAAAGCTGTCTGCACGATTCTAGACAAGAAATACGATTTGCAATCTATAAAACTTTTCTAAAGAATGCGCATTCCTTTTTTTTTTCGGGGCTAAATTGTATCTATGACTGATTGGGTGCGATGACAGTGTAAGAAAATCGCTGGAAAATCCATAGGTGTTATCATGTCAGGGACAGATAACTTCCTGGTTATATGGCTACGGTCAAATTGAATCGTGCTATCAAAACCGAAACCCCTTTGTTTAGTTTCCAGTAATCTCCACTTCTTCCACCTTATTCGCTTGGTTGCATTTATGGGATTTGAAAACATTGGAAACAGGAAATTGAGCAGTTCTTACTTCCCCACGTAGCTTTAATCAGGAAGAGAGTCTAACGACAATGTTTAAAGCATCCTTTTAGTGGAGTATGACGGAATGTAATACCTTACGATAAAATTATCTGTTGGGTACATGGAGGAGGAAAGAGGCCGGAGAACATCCGCCCTCAACATGTATAAAAGAGGCAAGGTTCTACTCTTGTTCAGTTATCTTGGTGAACATCACTTATTACACTTCAAAATACAAGCTTGTGATTTCAAAAGAGTTACGTTACACAAAATAATCAAGTGTCAAAGATGATTATGGGTAAGTGATTTAATCTGTTAGCACAACCCCGTTAAGTCTCTCTCTTTCACCTGTAGTGCTTTATTGGGGATACATCGTTGCTCATATTCATATAAGTTAATGGTTTGTACCAAGTTCTGTACACTGTCGTCGAATTTATGCCACTGAAGGAAGATGCGCAAATGAAATTATGAAGGAACCACTGCTCAGTTCATGAATCAGAAGAAATACCTCTCTAAACTTTGGGTACACTGCTCAAAGATCAATTAAAATAAATTCTTAGGGAATGAGGTTTTAAGGGAAACTAACTTTTTTTTTTCTTCATAATCAAAAATTTGCTATTGTTCTGATAAATGAAATTTTGCCGCCATCAAAAGTAAAACGTTCTGTGACTGGTCGAATTTCTCCAAAAAAATTCCCTTTCAATGATCATTCCGCTATCTTCTAGTTCTCTTTATTCCAATACGAAAAAGTTAAATATTTATGAAAATCGTTTTATACAGCGCTTATATGAACACCGACGAGGTAGTTCTCGCGCTCCTATTGGATCTCACAAATTTCTATAAGCGTTACACGTTCGAAATAGTAGAGTAATTTCAGTAATAATGAAACTGAATTTATCTGAAATATCGTTTTATTTAGATGTTGCACATATCGGGCCCTGAATGAATATTCTTATGATATACCGAATGAAGAATGAATTTACCAATTCAGAAGTTTTTAGTACTAGAAACTTTGTAGTAAAATCATAGCTTTGGATAATTCAGTCAACCATGAGATGGAGAATCGAACTGGCTAAAGAAATGAAATTTTGTAACAAAGATGATTTGAAAACTTATTCATTATCTTATCAACGTTAATTATTTAGTTCTAATAATAGGGAATATCATTACGACATTTGAGTGAAGCTTATAAAATTTTTGATTTAAAGCCATTCTAAGGAATTATATTAGTTGCAGTTGTTTATACAATTGATAATAATAAGCAAAGCCTAATTAACCAAACTTCAATTGACTTACATACACTCCTTTGGAAACGAAAAGAAAGGCCATTTCACAGCTGAGTTGCTTTGCGGAAAACTCGCGCCAAACGTTTCAAAAGAAAAGATTAGACATTTTGCGTCGAAAGCGCTTTGATTTCCTGTGTCAACGACGACAAACCGTTGTCATTGACGTCAACAATCATGTTGCAGTTTCTGTTGCCAGTTATAAGTGTTCATTAATCGCCCCAGGGCACTAAAGCAACGTGGTAATTAGTTATCGGTTCTTATGAGATTTCATAATTATATTTTGATCTCTCGGTGTTTAACATAGTGTAAAAGAGTATTGAAGAGGGTTTGAAGATAAAGAGGTAATTGTAGATGGGGCATAACATAACAGAACATTTCAAATGATATTACTATCGTGACTAAAACCACTTTTCAAATTAGATAGGCCAAATGAACGAACACTTTGACTGATAGGAATGAATACTGTATGAAATTTGGTCACTGTGCTAAAGCAATTTTATCAAACAAAATAGTGTCAGAAACTATTTCATGTGCAAAAAGTAAGAAAAATTTTTAAAATCATTTTTGTTTACAATTATTTTTCGCGTGCGAGGTATTGTATGGAACGAATTATTTTCACGATGTCACGGTTTCGTTTAATTTTCATTAAGTTTTACAATATTCCAAGTTTGAATATTTCACTGAACAAAAATTTCACCAAACAAAAGGTATTGACTGACAATTGGCTGCTGCGCTAAATCGATTTTATGACAAAAACAGTGCGTCAAAAGTTATTCTATGTAAAATATTACTGGAATCTAACTATTTTTGTTCATAAATATTTTTCAAGTGTGACGTAATTAAGGAATCGAATTATTTCACAATGTCAAAATTTCGCTTAATTTTCATGAAACTTTAATTAGTTTCTGGCAGAAGGCACACTACTTCTTGGCCTTAAATGACCAAGGTGTACTGGGATGACCTGAACAGAGGAAATGGTTTCATTCAGTAAAGTTGAGATTCGGCCTTCGTAAACCCTCCTTTGTAAAACAGATAAACTTCTATTTTTGGTTGAGGACAATAAAGGCGGAACGTCATCAAACTCCAGATGGATGAATAAGCTATTGCGGAAAATTCAAAGGTTTTACGGTTTCAATACTATGTAATCAGGATTAAAATGAAACCAATAAAAGCTACGCAAAGAGAGGCGAGAAAGCTTACAATCGCCCCTAAATTAGCAATTATTTCGACCTTCTCGCCAGCGGCTTTCTTGACTATTTAACCTTAAAGATCTGATTGTTAATTCTCCTCTTTAACTGTTACACATTTCCTTGTAAATAGGTACAAGAATTTGGTGTTAGATCAACATAGAAACTTGTACCCGTCAAGGGTTAGTTTTATCAACAAAACTGAAACAAAAATAGTAACTGTTGTTAACTGTTGTGGTAGTTCTTTTCAATTTATTTTCTGTTTTATCTTTTTAACCAGATAAAGCTTTCTTCCTTTGTGCCACTATCTTTGTGATCAGTTTTGCCTTTGGTAATGGGAGATCAATTCGTGATCCAGTTTTTCACTGCCTTTTTGAAACCTCAGATGCCGCAGAGACATGTTACGTAAGTACAGTTTTCAAAAAGCATGTTCATCGCAACTAACTCTTAACTCCCAAGATTTTATTGTCAATTCTCCCCTCTCGCTGCCGCACAATTAATCAGTTATGAGATTTGGTTTTAGATCAAGATAAAAACCTGTACCCGTTGAGACTGAGTATCTTCACTCCATGTTTGCTAGATAATGTATGGATATTATAGGGAGGAACTACATGTTAATCACTTTTGGAGGTTAAGGGTTAAAGTGATCTTGTCTTCATAAAGTCATCTGCAATGGAGGGCGGTTTTAATAACTTGTAATTGTTTATGAAGGAAACAAAACAAAAAGCTCCCTTTCAGGGGTGAGGCATTTCGTTTGTTCCACATCTTGTATGCAATTTCAGTTGGAGGATTCCCGTCACAGAAAATTCAAACCTTTTCTCCCATTCGACACGCGCACTATTTGTTCTAGTTTTTAGCCTACAATTTTCATTCTCAAGATCTTAAAAAGAGTGCTGTCAGTGCATTTTCGAATCACTTTTTCAAGATATATGAACAAAATGATATCAATCACTTCAGGCACGTATTCACTAACAGAACTATTTATGTATTGTTGTTTTCGTTTTTGTTTTTGTCTGATCGATGGATACAGAGAGCAGCCCATAACCCCGCTGGTCTCCAGCGTGGAAGAAGTCTTGGATTGGCTATGAAGAGTCTTCTTCCGACAGATATCGACAACTGGCCTAGCATGGTGGGTACTAAAACAATTCATTATATCGCAAGGTAGTCTTGAGGTAAACTCAATAATTAATTCTGCCATAATTGTGGTAACTTACCCACTAGCTCGAACCGTAGTAGGGAATATTGGTCCTCAGTCGTTTTTGCACGAATCTCGAGCGGTCAGTTTGTACTGTCGGGACATCGGACGAATACACCCCAGTATAGCCCTCATGCTCGGTTAATAAGGGGTTAGGAGTTTATATTCGCAGGCATAAATATGTTTTGGGCCCGACTCAGACCTAGAGTCACTGTAGCTTGAGTTTGGCGAGGGTTGAAATGAGCTCACTACTATGGTTCCACGACTTTTGTTTTGAGAGACCATATTTTTACCAACCAATCACGTTTATCAAAAAATAGCCTGTGAATTTTAACTGATCAACAGAATAACAGCCAGAAGGCACAAAAGTGTTTGACATCGTTGAAGAACTTTATGGCGCCACTCGAGGTTGTCATGGCAAGCCTTAAACGGCCACACTTTAACTGCAAGTCATCGGGAAACACGTTGAACAAGACAGTCCATGGATTACATCAACTCCTGGAGACAGCTATTAAGGACATTAACATATATGTAAGTTTGGTTAAAATTATTCTTGTGTATTTTCTGTAAATACACATGAGTACGTTTACTTCAGAACCTTTTTTCATATGCAAAACTGAAAATGTTTAAATATAACACTTTTGACGCGAAAAGTGGCGGAGACTTTTGAGTCATGCTTCGCTTACACATTTTACAGTGGCTTTTATGGGATTATAAACACTAAATTTATTAGATTTCACGACTAGGTCATACTGGGAAAAGATAGATCCGCTACTTCGCTCTGGTTAATACTCTTAACAAGTCTGAGGAGTCCATCACATCAAGTATTTTAACTAAAACCGATACACATGTTCTGAAAATGACTGTCAACGTTTCTTTTCAAAATCTGTCTTTAGGCCCGTCGTCAAAGTATTTCCCTGAAACCATTTAAACTGACATCTGTGGACATGACAAGAATGACAGCACTAGCCAAGAGGCAACTGAAACAGTCGGTAAGAAATTGATACAGCGATATGATTGGTGGAATTAAACCAGCGTAAAGTTTCCTCAGCTCCTCTGACACTTAAACCCCTGACAGTGACTGGCATCTAGTCAAACATTATGGTCACAAGAATGAAGGAAATCATTACAAACTAAAGCTGTGAATTGTCAAACAAATTCTCCATATCAGCACCTTAGGAAGTTCAAAAAGAACAGTGTGGAGAGTGTCAATTCCAGAGTTAAGGTGGAAAGAGATAATCATGATCTGAAACTCTCTTTAATCAAAATTAATGTGACTGGGGATATTTAAGTGTTTTCTGAAAAGTCAAACGCCTTCCTGCGGTAAACTGAAATTTTCACAGGGCGAAAGGATGAGTGAATAATAAAATACAAATAAGAAAAAAACTCCGAAGCTATCAAAGCTTTTTTAAGTTGTTCGCAGAAATTAACAAACAACAATTAATGGTTTATCGACGAATTAACCAATTTTTTCTTTCGTTCATTTCTTTCAGGGATTGTCGGCAAGTCGAGCAGTGGTAGTTCGAAATTATGTCTTCTTGGATTACCTAAACGAAGTTGTTTCCGACATAAAACTCACTCCAAGATCCTGCTTTAATACCAAAGTTCAGCTTAGTCAGATTTGCCCGGTGTGAGATCAGTTGACGGTGACCTGGAAAGATCAAGTTTTAATCGCTAGAAAACGACATTATGGATAAAAACAAACGCTCGCTCGAATTTGATTTATTTGAAATTTGCAACTTTCTATTTTAATATATACTTGGAGTAGGTCTATTTTTTCAAGGATATGAAGAGGTTCATTCGAACAGCTTCTCATATAGACTATTCACATTGAATACAAAACTTATTGTTCTGTAAGAATATTCATGGTAAACTATTTTGGTTGGAACATATGGTTATAGGGAGATGTTTATTCAAACAGATATATCATACTATTTATTCATTTTTATACTCACTGAAATAAATGCATTTGCTTGGCAACAGAGATGTGTGGTTCTTGCGTTCTTTATGTATGCAAATAGAGCACAACTGCCAGTTAGAAGAAAGGGAAACACCTTTAAGAGCCATTGGGACCTCAAAGTAAAAGCAACCAAAATGCCAACGCGGGAAAACGGGAGCGACCAAGTCGTGACTGGATTTATATTTTCATCTGATTGGTTGAGATGGTGGCACGAGTTTTTTGGACCAATCACAGAGCGAAGTAAACCAAAATAAATGCAATCCCCGATTAGCTTCGAGACTCAATTGAAAAAATTACTCGATAGGAGACTTAACTAGAATAAGTAGAGTAACTGTAAACAATGCATCACTAACTGACCTCATCTTTATAAACAACAGTCGACATTATTATAAGCCGTCCTTGCACCAACAGAGCGTTTTAACTTCGTGTGAAAAACGCCCATTTGCGGAAGAAACAAACGGCAGGGCTACAGAGATGTTTCTTCGCCTCATCACGAGCGTGGGACAAAATAGAACTCCCATTAGGAATAGAACCTCAGGCCGTCAGATTCTGCGCTACGATGCTCTATCATTTACCCCCTACAATCAAAAATCAGTAAGCATATTCCCTTTGCTGATTTCTATACATTTCCTACAGTGATTAAAAGAGACGATGTTTAACAAGCAAAAGCTTCTATAATTGGGATCATTTCTTTCATTCCCATGACCTTAATGTTTGATTCAGGGATGATATTGTAGGAAGAAATTAGATACTCTTGGGGTTACAAGATTAATAGGAGGTGTTCACCCAAGTCACTGCTTGGCACCACCATTATGGTCGATTTTTGTTTCGCACATGTTGAAGTAACGTTAACACGATTTATTTCCGATTGGATCTATTCGTTAGTTTAATCGAGCCGATCTTAATTGCCGTAGTTTATTTCCAAATATAAATCGCCCGCCATGGGCAATCAGCTGCATAAAAAAGAGCGCACACCACTGTGGCAAGTTCGACTTTTTTTTTCAGGATAAACTTGCTGTGTATGGGTTCAGGATTTGGATTTCAAACCTTTCAACACCCGATTTATTCTTTGTGGAAACGTTACTCAACACGAATCTTCACTAACTAAGAATGAATTAAGTCCTTGGTCTTCACAGTGCAGTTGAAGAAATCTACGAACCTTTTTAAAGAACAGTAACTTTTATTCTCAAATAGGATCTTACTTCTTCATTTTTATCGATTCCCGATGATCGCTTTTTTTTTCATTACTTACAAAATTAATATTTCACCGAAGAAGCATCCATGCAGGGCAACAAGAACATATCTACAGAAGTTTTTCTCTGTTCACAAACATTCTACTTGTACATTATTGTCTAGTGCACGAATGAAATGAGACTTTTTACAATTAAATTCCGAAAAATTTCAAAAAAAATTTAAAATATCTTTTGAAAAGAAACAAAAAAAAAAGCAGATTACGCTTAGTAAAGTATTCATTTCAAATATAATTTTTCCACTTTTATCTTCTACTGCAAATTTTCCTGTTTTTAAACAAAACAATGGAATTTACTTGCTTCCCTCGAACATTTCCCAGTTTTTGGTTTAGTTCAACATTGTTTTAATCGTCGAGCAAGACGAGTATACTCTAATTCACTTGCTCACATTGAATATAAAAATCCATTTCCCACTAAATATTGTAGAGAGAGTTTTACCAGTGTTATCTAAAATATTTCCAACGATTGGAAAAATAAACAACAGAGCTTAACTTTTCATCCAAAACAATGATCCTGTGAAAGTTTGGTGAAAGGTTTCTAAATCGGAATCACGAACACTCTTGGGCAACAACGATAAAAAGGCGAGCTCTTTCTCTTTTTTGGTAGTTAACATGCTGTTAACTTTGTCACAAAATAATCGCTTGTGCGAGCTCGTAACTTCTCCAGAATCCCACTACCCACCCACTGAGTAGTTTAGACCCTGATTTTTTGTCTCCCAAGAAATGGTATCGTTGAGTCTGGTCAGGAATTTGCATAAGAAATTATGACATGGAACAATTTGGGTCAGGAACCAATAAGGCGAAGGATTGCGTATTGATTGCTTTGACTTATAGAGAAACTTTTAAGTTATTCCATAAATAACCGACGTTAAACGTCAAACGCTAATACGAAAGATACTTTTGATACTACATTGATATCTCAGTCGCTAGTAACATCACTGGTAACGCAGTGTAACACCATCTTGCTAAACGACGTGACACAACTAAAAGAAGCCTATAATCTTGACATCGACGCCTCGACGATGGCAGCGAAAGACGACTGTACCCACATGAACGCATTCAAGGACCGGAAGCAACCCTTTCGATTCACGTAAGATGGTTCATTTTATGGACGAGCCCAGTCACAAATAAAGGACAAGGAATGGGTCAAAACTTGAACCAACCGCATAAAATGTTCTTGTTTAGACCTCAGTCTGCTGAGAAGGCCTCCTTTGAGGAGTCTTTTTTTCTTGTTGTCTTTTGTGAATTAAGACAGAGGGATCTACCTGTCTTGACGGCGCATCAGTTTCCATGGTAACACTATTTCCCAGTTTTTCTGACGCGCACTTGTCACTGGATTCTTCACGTGCGGCTTTCGAATCATTCACCTCGAAAGCATCGTCACTTGCTTGATCCAAGTCTTCGTCCAAAAGCCCAATATTTTCCTCTTTGCTATCATCCTCGTTTTCTCCTGTGCCACGAAATTGTTTGCTCAGCTGAGAGGAAAGCGATACAATGCTACCATTAAGCTGGTCTAGTTTCCTTTTTGCAAAAAGAGACGATGAGTGAGACGCCAATGAGGTTTTGCTTCCACCTGTGGCTAAAAAGGGTTCACTGTCAAGGTTATGACGTATATCTGCGTATCCATCACTGTCAGGCGTGTGTTCTTCATCGTGAACGTCATCTTGGTATCCTTCCCCGTCATCACAATTCAAACTGTTGCTACTTTTAGACACGTGCTCTGAACTTCCGAAAACGTTGTCTTCTTCGGAAGACGAAGGGGTTTTGGGAGTCAATGGACTCACAAGTGGCGGTTGAAGGTCAAGATATTCCTATGGGGGAGCAAGGCAATTTTTAAGACAAGAGATTCGTTTTGGAGTTTTGTTTGATACTTAAGCCGACAATGTCAGGAATATGTCTTATTGACCAAGGGACTCAAAAGGCTAGACGGTGCCTAGTCACGAATTGGGCCGGCCAGTTTCGAGTATGTTGGTTACTGTGTTGCTTTGACGGAAAAACACTTCGTATTCAAAGAGCTTTAACTCTTGCAGCATGATAAATGGATGGAAGCGAATCGTGACCAATACTTAAGTGGATTTTCCGCGTTACTAATCAATTCAAAGAGTAGTGTGGATTAAAATCGTTGGCCCCCTGATGAACTGAAAAAAGAGTTGGCTAGACGGATAAACCTACTATGCTTGGAGAAAGACTTAAGCCCTTAACCAAAATAACATGATCACCAGCTCGATCACACGCATGGCGATCATTTATGTGGCATGTTTTAATTTAACCAGTACGCATTCAAGTCTCTCACAAGATGGTAAAACTGGCTTTTTTCCTTGAAACAGTGAACAGGGCATTGTAAGAAACGAGATTATAATCCGAATTTCTTTAAAATTGTATTGTAATTGCATGGGCACAGGTGAGTGGGGGAGAAGAGGGGGGGACATTTCTTCAGAGTACTATTTCTGCGTCAGGTATTAATGCAATCTACCTTGTCTGACAGCATCGATATCATCTGATCGAATTCGTGGACAAGTTCCGGAAACGTCGGTCTTTTATCAGCAAATTCATTCCAACAATTTAGCATAAGCTGATACCTAAGGAGAAGAAAATATAACGAGAAAGTGAGTTGATCTGTGTTGACAAAGATAAGTTTGCAATAAAAACGATAATGAAGTTTTTCTGAACTCAATTTTTACTCGCACCACTAGACCCAGCAGAATAAAAGATTACATACGATACTAACTGTACTTACATTACTATTTTACACTTGAAAAACTCATATTAAATCCAGTAATGAAATTACGTGGAGCATGTTAACTTAATAACAATGCACGGGTAACACTCGCAAAAAACACTACTTCACAGGCACTATCAAACACACAATACGTCATAAATTACCTATATGCGTATGTGAGTGCAACAACAACAACAAATAAATATATGACAAAACAGAATAATAAAAAAAAATACATACATAAATAACGGAGGGGTTAATACACGTAATCATTTTAAGAGTCAATCCGGTAAATTCTTCTAAAATTTTGTTCTCCATTTAGCCTTCCCAACTTTGCCTGACGTTACAATTTACCTAAAAAGAGCCTTAGAAACATTATCATGTGATTAAATTCGAACCTCTTCTTAGAGGAACTGAAGCAGTGACAAGACATAACTAGCGCTTCTGAAGAAGGAGGTCAATCTCACTTACAGTTCCCTGTCGCAATTGATGGGACGTTTCATCCTGTAACCTGACTTGAGCAGTCCATAAAGATTTTCCACGGGAATACCAGGATATGGAGAGCCCCCTTAAACAAGTTGATAAGAAAGAATAACAGAAGTGGAATGAGTGATCAACCAAAGGTGATTGGCTAGTGGTGTGTAAAGAAGTTATGAATATCCTGAAATCCAAGTTGACGTGGCCATCAGTGGGCATCAAAAAGGTC